AGGAGTGCAGAGAAGTAGAATAACATGCGCTCATTACCTCATGACCTGCGTATTAATCTCTCCCCGAGTGTCAAAGAAACACTTCACAACATGATTTCGAAAGAAATCACTTATCAAATGAGAGTACATTAGACTGTTTCTTTGGAATCACAGTGAATAAGAATTTTATTTATTTGTACAAAGCTTTTAATTTTAAAAGTGCTTTTCTTTTCAGTACAAAGTCACTGTATTTTCTCACTTAATGATAGCGTTCATTTGGCTGAGTGGATTCTTGCCATGGGTAGCATCCATACAGTGAATTGGCCCAAGAAGATGGCTTACTCTAAAAATATAAGAACTTGAGTTCAAATCCCCAGCACCCACATTAAACACCAAACACATCAAAAACCAGGCAAGGCTGGGAGTGGCTGTAACCCTGGTCTGAAGTGCAGAGAATTGTAGTACCTGAAAGCCAACTAGCCTAGTCTAGTCCCTCCGGGTCAGGCAAAGACCCTGTGCCAAGGCAGCCAGGTGGAAAGTGACCAAGGAAGATATTTAATGTGCCATTCTGGGTTCTGTTTGAGCTCACACAGGTGCGTGCACTTACATACTCGTATGTCTGTGTCATTTCGTGCACATGCGCATGTGAGAACACACACATGATATTTAATCATAACAGTTCAATTCCAAGATGAGAACTAATTTCAAGTCAAAGGGTCTCTCCCTGCATGAAACTACAGTGATGCTAATTATCTCATTGTCACTGTATCACACATATAGGCCAATAGATATTAGGAAAAAAGTCAGGTTGTTTTGATGACAAGTTTAGGTCTGACTTGGGACTATAGAGATGGCTAAATGGCCAAGAGTACTTGCTGCTCTTTCAGAACGCTTGCTCTCCAATGTCCATGTCAGCTTCGTCTGTCTACAGCTCCAGAAAATCTTCTGGGAAAAACAAGCTTCTTGTCTCTAGGATACCCTCAAATACCCCTTTTACAAATAAGGACACACTCACAGATTTTGAAGATTAGCACATGGCCATACCTTATGGAGGCCACCCTTTCCCTATTATAACTGCCAGATGACTAATGCTTTTTCTGCTTCCCAGTAGGGACTGCAGGACTAACATTTGCACACGTGAATGTTTCCATACTCTGCTGAAGAGCAGTGAAAATTCTGTCTTCAGCCCTTGATAGTTTTGATCCTAAATGTTCCTCAGAAATCTACACAAGAAAGACTTGGCTTCCAGGGGATCATTATGGGGTGGCTATAGAAGTTTTGGGAGGCAGCAGGATCTCTTCAGATTATTAGGGCTATGTTTTTGACAGAGATCGTGGGACTCTAACTCTTGTTTTTCTTCCTTCACTCCTGCTTTCTTTTCTTTTCTTTTTTTTTAACCTTGGCCATGAAGTAAACAGCATTCCTTTGCCAGATGGTCCTAACATGCTATGCTGTCCCAACATGGGCTAATAGCAACAGGGCTAATTGACCATGGAACAGATCTCCCAAACCCTGAGCCCAAGCAAACCTTTTGTTGTTGTAAGGTAATTACCCCTGCTATTACAGTGAAGGATTAGTTAACAGACTAGCCTCAAATACTTGCCAGATCTGAAAGAAGTACTGGCCCCTTTGTGGCACTTGTATTCCATATTCTCCTATGAGTAATCTCATTGTTGAACATTTAATCACTTGATTGGAGCTGAAATTATTTTTAGTATAGGCAGACTATAAATAACAACTATTATTACTACTTTACATGTAGATGCTGGTAATGTACAGATGAATAATTTAGTTCTTACATTTTAACAGTATAGTCCCTTGAAAAACATCTATAAACAAACTATCTATAAATTAGTAGTAAGTGTTGCAATATAATGCATGAAATACCATAGAAGCAAAGAACAAGGAGCTACTATCTGTTTTGGGGTGGTGGAAAGACGGCATTTGAAATCAGTTCTTAAAGTATGAGGGGTACGAAGTATGAATACCCACAGTTGTGAGGATAAGAATGGAGTCAGAACAGGCAGACCTTTCTCTCTCTCTTAGAATAAAGTGTTACCACTTTTTGTATGTTAATTGGGACTGTGATCTGGGTTTTCTTTATGACAGGCTGTAAATCTATATTTTAGCTGTATACTTTTGCATTATAAGTATAAGGCCTGTGAAAGTTCTTCACCCCTTTCTTATGTTTTCCTAAGAAAAAAGAAGTCTGTAAAAAGCTATGCAGCAATGCTAGATTTAATTCATTTTAACAAAGGTCACAGCATTTCTGAGTAGTAAACACGATTACAAGATCTTTCCAGTGTCTGGATATTTGGCAGATATGCCTCTGTCTGGAAGAAATGATTGGAGTCTAGGGCTGGGGGGACAAATGTGAAGTCCATGAACATCTGGGAAAGGCAGACACATCTTTTTTTTTTTTTTTTTTTTCCCCAGCCACAGCCAAGAAGTGAAGTAAGGCAAAGATCTGTTCTTTGTTTGAATTAGGGAGACTATTGCAGGCTTAGAGAAGGACTGCCTTACTGTTTCAGGCCAAATGGGAGAGGTGACTTAAGTGCTGCTGTCAGGGACACGGGGTTACTTTAGTGCTATGTCAGCAATGACTGGATTCTCTTCTTAGGCTATTTCCTCCTGTGATGACACTACCAGCAATTAATGTACTAGTATTTATAAGCTTTACTTTTAACAGCATACAGCCTTTGGGAAGGTCAGATAATTAATTTTTGTAATGTTTCAGATTATATTTGTTGTCTATTCTATAGCCTTGATAATAAGTGATTATTAAATCACAGAAATATTAAATAAGTTTTGAAAGCACTTTCTGTAAAGAAGTAACAGGAAACAGACTAAGACTACAGAAATTTTTCTACCACTACTCATGTAGGTCAACAAGGTGCCCATCTAGTTGCTAAGAAAGAGGAAGATATTTAAAAGCAAAGCAATATTATCAACAGAGAACTAGTATGCTTCAGCAATCTGAGGAAACCCTTTAGTTAATATGAGGTCACCGGAAAGTGTCCGTATCTCTGAAACTCAGGCAACTTCTTAACTGCTCTGAAGTCGGATTAATCAAATGTCTTCTGTGGTCTCATCCCTGGACACAACTGTGATGACCTGGGTTGGTGTGTTGCTTTTGTCACTCATGGCGGCTTTTATTCTGGTTAGGATACTTGGTAATTGGGGCTGGAGAGATGGCTCAGAGGCTAAGAGCACTGACTGCTCTTTCAGAGGACCTGGGTTCAGTTTCCACACGGCAGCTCATAACTGTTATAACTCCAGTGCCAGGACCAACACCATCACACAGACACACATACAGGTAAAATACTGCGCATAAAATAATAAAATAAAATAAAATTTAAAAGCAGTTAAAAAGATATTTGGTAATTTGAAGTGATAATTTTTCAATGTAAAATAGTGAAAAGCACTTGTCAGTGTGTGCTTCTGCCTTTAAATATCAGCTTTGTAGTTCAAGGCACCATTCATCTTATACTGGCTTCACTGTAGCTTATCTGTAATTGCTTTCCTTTGTTGCATTCTCATCCCTCACTTGTGTCTTTTCCACACATCTATTGGAGTAGTGTTTTAAAATCATACAGATTCTGCAATTCTTTGCCTTAAAGCCTTGACTGATATCCATCGCTATCAAGACTAATTAAATACGCTTATATGCATACTGCTCGGAATCTGTCTGAATTGTCTAGTACTGGAAACTAGGCATGGTCACCTGGTTGGTACTCGGATGGGAGACTAAAATAAAACTTTATTACCATGCTCTAAAAAGCATTGACCAACCTGTTCTTTGTTCAGTCTTTGGCCTCATCTTCCCAACATTCCCTTCCTTCTTCACTGTTTACTAGCTGTCATGATTTACCTGCTCCTAGACCAGAAGAGTTTGTTCTATGTTTAGGTTTTTGCTTATTTCTAAAAGACTCCATATTTATTTACTGCCTTAAAGCTCAGTGCAACTATTTTATAGTGAGTGTTCATCTTCAACTACTGAATCTACAGTAGCATCGCTTATCAGTGTCTTACAATCTTATACATTCATAACATATCACATACACACTGTTAATTGTGTAACTATTCTCAGTTTTCTTCCTGCTCAACTATAAGCTTAATGAAGGGCAATAAATTGTCTATTTTTTTTAGAGTGCATTTCTAGAGTCCTGAGTGATATTTCAAATCTAGCATGTGCTAGGCACATAGTAAATAAGGTTTTGGAAGAACAAAGAATAAATTTAAATGTAATAATGTATGAAAGTGTTAGCTCATATTGTGTCTAAATTTGCTGTTTATATTCTTGCTTTTGGAGATTGCCCTGTTCTATTCTATTCTATTCTATTCTATTCTATTCTATTCTATTCTATT